AAATTTCGCGGGCTACGTATATTCTATTATTGATTTTAAATTTTTTAAGTTAGTACACTCGTCTCGAACTTATATTTACAGTTGCTGTTCAGTTTGTTGGTGAGAGGCATACAAGTTAGAAGTGTTTCACGTGTTTCGCGATTTTCTGCTTTCTGAAAATATGCATCAAAGAATTTGCATCAAATTTTGTGTAAATAATAGAATTAAGTGGTCAAAATCATTCAAAATATTGACAGTGGCATACTGTGATTGTACCCTGAGTCCGAAAAATGTTTACAAGTCGTACAAGTTTTTCACGGTACAACTGATTTCGTATCTTGTTAAGACAAATAATATGCTGATTGAATTTTATAGGTATTGTTCATTCGTCTGGTATTCTTGTTTTCATTTTCATTGTCTGTTGAATATCAACTTGATATGTAAACATATAGAAAACATAAACGATAGACTAACAAATGTATTAGTTCAAAGAATTCAAGTACTTTGTTTAATTCTTCACCTTTTCACATTTCAAACGTTACAATCTCAATATGAACAAAATTTATTTTAAAAAATGGAAATCAGTGAATCAACAGTCAAAAAACTCACGAACTCACTGGCCTGACTAATTAAAGAAAGGATGTTCATAGTTTGATTGTTTGAACGACTCACAAACCATTCACTTCTATTGAAAATTAGCATATATGAATATATTTCCAAAGCTGATATGCAAAAACAGATCATATGTTGATGTTCATTCACTTATTTCGACTTTCGAATATTTATTTTCCTATATCCTTGTAAACATTTCAAATGATCCATTCCATTTAGAATTTTTACGTGTGAAATTATATTGAGACGAATGTATTATAACCACAGTAGAATAATGCAACCAGTAGCCTCTCTTACCACATGATTCGCCCGAGTTGCGTGGGACCTTCAACCGCTCTTAGGATGAGAGTCCTAAGAGCGGTTGTAGGTCCTGCTGTAGTGCTGTAGTATCGAAGGATTTGGCGGTACCACGGACATCGGATTAGTTACGATAAGCGGTCGGAAATTGATATTGTGTTTAGTTTATTCGGTGTTGTTATTATTGTTTTTAGTTTTAGCAGTTGGTTATAAATAATTTACCATACAATATTATATAATCTCCAATTTCGTTTTTATATGAGCGCACGCCAATGGTAAAAGAACGAAATTGGCTCTGCACTTCGTTTCGAGGTCACTGAGAACTTGATGAATTTATGAATGAAAGTTGTGGTAGTGGACTTACTGGTTGATTTTCACTATGGTATAACTATATCGCTTCATAGTATAAAACAGTCTCTTCCCACTGTCTGTTCCTATGTATTCTTAGATCTGCAAACCTACACAACGGATTTTGATGCGGGTTTTACATTAGATAAAGAGATTCAATAATATAGTAGAGAAACACTGAAAATTTTAGTGTGTCTGTGTGAGAGCAACTGAGACAACCACTGTCTGTGTTTGCGTATATATTTCATATTAAAACATATGGGCTTGAAATAGCAAACCAACCCAAAAAGTGGGGAAGAAATGATAGTTCAAAAAACAAGAAAACATGCTCTAACAGCAACCCTAAAAAATAATTCGAAACTAATTTAAAATTGTGTTCAACATCGATAATAAGTCCTATGTCTGTCAACCCCAGCAAAATTGTGATAACCCCCTTCATCAGGAGGAGACAGGCTTGTCTGGCTATCAGTGGTGCCATCAGTACCACAGATCCTTCTAGATCTACCTCCTCTCCACATTTTTCTGGAAAGAAAGGCTAGATGGACTACATATAGACTTGAGTACATTGCCAATTGCAATGCAGAGTGCAGCAAATTGTTGGTTTGCACTGGAAGTCACAGCATTCCGGAAATGACCTCTGACTTTATGCCTCCAGCTGGTTCCGGTGCAGGTCTTGTCAGTCGCAGACCCAGAACAGAAATATCAACCTGCCTAGGAACCTATGCGACTGTATTTCAAGCGGAAATTCACGCTATTGATTTGTATGCGGAGAGATTGGAAGAATCCAACCTTATACACAAGTCTAAATTGATAGCAAATTGCTAAAAACCACTTCCCTCGATAGGAAGACTTAACAAATTGTCTCTGGTCTGGATTCCTGGCCATACTGGCCTGGAAGGCAATGAGGCTGCTGACTTCCTTACAAAGGAGGGTGCTGCAAGCAGCTTCATGGACCAGATCCTGTCATTGGCATTGCTTTAGGCTTTGCCAAACAAAGATTGAACACCTGGATGGCAGGAAGATTTATGGACTCCTAGCAGAATCTTCCAGGATTGGCTCACTTATGTAATTCAAACGAATATTTTCGACGCTATTACAGATTTAAAATGCAGCGGTTGCAGCGCTACCGGCCGAGGGGCCGGCGGTGCGTTCCTATAAATATAAATAGCGCTTCGCCCTATAGCACTTTATGGTTAGCAGCGATCGCACGCGTTTATATGTAAATTTAGTATCAGCATTGCACCCGTGCGGAGCCGAGGCGGCTCACTAGTTTTTTTTAATCATATTATTTTCTACAATTTTTGAAATTATTAAGTCTACTAACAGAACTAGTAGAGGAGCATTTCAAAGCAAAGAGAAGTAAATAAGGATTTAGTCACCTCATCTGGCTCAAATCGACATTGAACCTCCTACATTTATGTACCTGCTTCGCATGTAAGATCGGAGAATTTGTAGCACTTTCTGGAAATGATAAATTGTGCTGTTGCATCAGGTACTCTGGTGTGGTGACCCAGTTCATCTGGCTGTCGGCTGACGTTACAGATTCAGACCTAAAAAAATTTCATATTTCACATATCCTTCATTTATGTTTTTCATTCAATATTCATGTTAAGACCGGCATTTATTTCTCTCTTTCAATTTTTCTCACAGCTCGATTCCAGAGAGAAGACATACTCTTAGAAAATACTCAAAATTCAAGACCATACCTCTTTAGTAGATCATCACAGCCGATTCTGTGATACCAACCAATGAGAGCGTAGCAATTTGTCACATGACCAGTTTGTTCGGTTGGTTACGCTATCGGCGCCACGCTAACCTACCCTAACCTAACATAACCTAACCTAATATTACCGATAGCGTAACCAACCGAACAAACTTGTCATGTGACAAATTGCTACGCTCTCATTGGCTGGTGTCACAGAATCGGCTTTGGTGATCTACTCTCTTTGGGAAAATAGTTCAATCATATTCAGTTACAATATGGTTTCATTAACGAAGGTCTTATGTAGTTGGATAATTTCATTGGAGAAAATAACTTTTAAACGAAGCTTGAAAAGTGTTATAAGGACTCCGCTCCGTCAGAAAAAACAATTAAAAGTTGGTTTTCTGACTTCAAACCTGGTTGTAGAGAACGCAGAACGTGCAGAACGCAGTGGACATACAAATAGGGCAGTAACACCAGAAAACATTTTTTTAAATCTACAAAATCGTTTTGAACGATCAGAAAGTGAAGTTGCGTTAGTTAGCTGATATTGTAAAGATATCAAATGAACGTGTTGGCTTTATATTGCCTGAGCATTTGACTATAATAAAGCTCTGTTCAAAGTGGGTGCCGCGCGAGCTCACTGTTGACCAAAAGCAAGAACGTCTTAATGATTCTGAGCAGTGTTTGGCCATGTTTGAACAAAACAAACCGGAATTTTTGCATCGATATGTGACAATGGATAAAACATGGGTTCATCACTTTACTCTGGGATCAAAACAATCAGCATCTGAGTGGAGAGCAGCTGGTGAAGCTCGTCTGAAGCGCCGGAAAGCACAACAATCGACTGGAAAGGTTATGACCTCGGTATTTTAAGATGTGCGTAGTGTAATATTAATCAACTATCTGGAGAAGGATGATATCATCAACAGGGAATATAATATAGTGTTTGAAGGTCGAAATTGCAGAGAAACGACTACATATGACAAAATTTTGTTTCATCAAGACAACGCACCGTGTCGATCAAAATAATGACAAAACTACATGAATTGCACTTCGAATTGCTCCCACATCCACCGTATTCGCCAGATTCGGCTCCCAGGCACTATTGGCTGTTCGCAGACCTCAAAAAAGTGTTCACCGTTAAAAAATTTTGCTCGAATGAAGAGGTTATTGCTGAATCGGACGCCTATTTTGAGGCAAAAGTTGAATCGTTCTACAAAACTGGCATTGAAAAGTTAAAGCGGCGCAGGAATGATTGTGCGACTCTTGATGGAGATTACGTCGATGAATAAAGACAATTTTGAACAAAAAAAACATTTTTTTCCTAGGCCCGGGACTTTTCAGCCTAGGTGTATATGGTTCGGAAAGTCAAAAAATATAGGAAACATAGTAGCATTCCGGAGGAAAAAAAAGGGATTTTTGCAGGAGAACTGGACCAACAACCACCGTCGGAGAAAAACAACTGGTATGGCTGGAATTCGATGTGTTAACACACACTGGAAAGAGTTTGGTACACCTCTCTGACTTGAGCTCAGCTTGCTTGTAGACAAGAAAATCTCTCACTTGGATCAAGTTCGCCATGCTCAAAAAGCCTACATAGATATCTGCAATTGCACTATAGTTAAACTATTTAGAACAGCTCTCATCTAACTCAAGTCACTGAAAACAGGTCGGGTTCTACCACTACCACTACCATCAAGTAGTTTTCATGAAAGAGTTCTAAAACAACGCATTTCAAAATTATCATTTCAATATTTCTCTTTAAAAAATTATTTAAATACTTAAAAAAGAGGAATGAAATAATGCATTCAACATTTAAAGGGATTCATTTCTATTTCACCATTTGGCAACATCGTTTATAGCTAATAAAGGACAATGAATCTGTTACCTGTATGAGACAAACAAAGATGACATATTTCAGAGGCGTGCTGTTCTGTTTACTTATGTTCCGAGTTCCGAGACATTCTGTTACATATGACATTTTGTGCACCGAACCTATCTTCCTCTATATAAATAAATAACAAAACAACTGTTGTTTATGTGACTCGTGGAGGTGGTATTGAACTATAATTTATATTTTGCTTCAATTGTTGATTTATAAAGATAATTTTCCTTTTTTTAAAGTAGATTATCTGGGTACGTATTTCTCACTCGCTTGATTTGCGGAACTCGCCTTCGTATAGTGCCAACAAACTTCTGAGCTGGTGAGAAATATGTCGTTTTTTTCACTTGTTGTACAATATACTATTTTCCGTTAACCAGCTGAACGTGAAAAGACAAGTAAATGAGCAGGAGGTACAATGAGGAAGATGAACATGCAAATAATCTCACCTCGAAAAGTCAAAGTGCTCTGTTGGATCCTTAACGCTATCGGGAGTTTGGATTATCTCAATCTCCGGACTAGATATATCCACATTAATGCTAATTCCATGCTTCTCGCTCTCGTCGGAGCTCATAGACTCAGACAGCCTATCTTTCTCGTCATAGTTCAGGAAAGGGTTCGTGTTCCTCAGCTCCCCGCTTTGTCTTCTTTCCACGTAATCATTGGAGTCATTGGAAGTCAAACTCTCCACGCTGGATCTCTTGCAGCTCCGTCTCAGGGGACTATCAACTATGAGACTCGTGTTTTTCGCGATGGTCGAGTTTGGGATCCAAGTCAGGAATAAAGTGGGTCTTCTCGACTCGTTGTACTGGTCAACGAATACTTTGGTGGTGATCGTCAGGTAGCCCGGGTGGTGGAGAATGTCAGTGTCGTGCCGAGCAGCGGCTGGTGGATGCACGCAGACGTTGTTTTTACAAAACAGTATCTCGTTGTCATCGTAGTGGAAGTATTTGGTGTCTTCCTCCGGACCCAGGATGTAGGTGGAGGCTCTGCGTATCATGTCTCTCAGCGGCATTTTTGCAGATCTTCTACAAGCTGAAAGGAAAAATTTGGAAGTGAACACCTTTAACGTGTGGCTCGGAGTTATTGGGGATGATTTAATTAGGCCTCATTTTCTACCTCCTCGATTAAATGGTGAGGCATACGTTCAATTTTTAAGAGAAGTGCCTCCAGTACTGCTGGAGAAAAGTGATGTGTTTTTCATGCATGATGGGGCTCCCGCCCATTTTAGTCAAGTAGCACGTCAGCATTTAACTGAAACATATGCAAATCAGTGAATAGGTTAAGGAGGACCACAAAACTGGCCCGCTCGATCCCCGGATCTCAATCCCGATTTCTCTATTTAGGGCCATTTAGAGCATTTGGTTTATCGTACTCCGGTTCGCGATGTTGATGACTTAAGAAACCACATCATCGATGCGTGCAGGGTAATCAGAGAGACTCCAGAAATATTTGAGCGGATACGTGACTCAATGCGCCGACGTCTAGACGCATGCGTAATGTCTGAAGCTAGACATACGGAACATTTACTATGATTTCTACATATTGTGTGTTTTGTTATTATTAAATTAGTTTTAAATCGTTTAATGCAGGCATTGTATCGTAAAATAATTTTTTGCTGCGAACTGGTTTATTTTGGGCAAAAAACCCAGGAGACATTTTTTGTTTAGAATTAAACAGGCTATCGGAAATGAATGTTTAAATGGTAAACAAATGATAAGACAGAAAGTTACATTGGAAATAAATTTTAGGGGTTGCGTTTTCCACCCATTACAACCATGGGGTAAACCAAATAAATTACTGGCTAAGTGTCTTTTTGGTAGTACAAAACGTCAGGTTAATTTCAATATTGTAACTTTTTCAGTGCTTGTGAAAAAAATGGTTATACAAATTTTATGTACCCCCTTTAAGAGGCTGTATCCTAACAAGGGTTGCTCCATTAAAGTTTCTTTATATGAAAGATCCTATCTTTGTTTTGATGAGGAATCACCTCCTTGAATGTTTTACACTTATTCATTTACACCCTGTATATTTTGTAGTAGACATCGCCATGAAAGAGTTATACAATGTGATGTTGTTTGTGCATGTTATACATGTGATACAATTATTTTTATATACATTATTAGATAACATATAATTTATCATAACATTAAAATCAACAGTTCAAAAAATACTTTTCAAAAAGCTTAAAGCTGCGAACTCGTTTCCTCCTTTTCATAAAAGAGGATGTATGTATCTCCACTCACAAGCGATTTTGGTGAAATTGGTGACACGTGTGAATCATTGTATTCGTGCCACGTGCCAGTATAAGGATGTCTGCAGAAAGCTGTAGAATGTCCGATGTAGGTGGACCCACTGTGATTCGAAAGGGCATATAGATTATAACGACAAGGAGTTACATTGTCTGCTGCATAATTGTTCATATCTAATCTATCTAGAGGAAATTCGATGGCATTATTTAACTTGCCTCTAAATCTTTCTGTTGGAGAAAATCTTTAAAATGAATGACTAAAATACGGGGAAACTTATAGATCGATAGAGACTTTGTGCATTGTGAACAAGTCGGTTTTTCATGTCCATCCAAAGTTTCCTCTCTTGTGAAGAAATCCAAGCATTGTGATAAACTCAATTGGCCAGTTCTTCGTGGTATGAGGGGTGACAAATCCCAGAAAGGATCGAAGATTACAGATGAGTGTCGACGATATGTGCACTTCATCGTGGATTTTAATTGACCAACGGAATTATCTACAATCTTACAGTTATATGTACTCAAATAAATCAGCCATGACTCTTGTGCTTTTCCGCTGTCGCTCAATTTTTCGTTAATCTTCGTTAAGGTCGGTTTAGGTTTCTCAATAATTCTATTAACGTCATCATGTAAACCTTCAAAGAGATAACGAAGGAACTCCTGAGCGTCTTGATGCGCATGACCCATGAATCGAGGGGCAAAACTCTGAATCTGACTTTTTAAGGAGACTGTTCATTGTTCTATCGGGTGAATCTTCTGACCACAATTCCTTGGTAACTTCTGCGAAAGCTTTGATTAAAGCACCCTCCGTACTGGAAATATTAGTATTGATATCTTTCACGTACTCATCCTTTTTCCAATATTCCAGTAACCATCTCGTATTTGATAAACATTGGATTACACTGTTCATGAAACAGGTGCTGCCAATATTTTTCAACCCATTAAGCCCAAGGGTTTTGACTGAGGAATGTATCACTGATCTAATTGTGTTGTAGCTGTTAGTGATACGTTCGCCACCGCTATTTTCTTTCCAGTAATTAAATAATTTTTCAAAGAAAAAGGTTAAAATGATACGTTTAAAATGCGTTGTTTTAGATCTCTTTTATGAAAACTACTTGATTTTCGTCAGGAGGAACATTCCCCATTGCTTAAAATTGAATCAGATATGTTCATGGCGGTTTTTTCGAATTCGTGAGAGAAAGATAACTCCAGAACTTATTTATTTTCCTCTGCATATTCTGAGACAATCGGGAAATGATCAATCTGCTCACTCCATTTTGCGAGGTTCATAAGAAATTTTGATTTCATTTGTGGGTTCAGTAATATTTCATCTAATTTTTGAGTACTCGATGTGGCATTACCCCTTAGAAAGGCGATACTGATTCTTTGAATTAAATATGAATAGGTTCGGTTGTCATTGGTAGAATTCATCATTCTTCTGTCAATTTCTTTCAACAATTCAGGAGCATCAGATCCAAAAACACCAAAGGTTCCAATTGCAACAGGAAAGAAACAGTAGGAACTTAGCAAAGTGGGTATTTCCGAAATTTTGATTTTTCTGCAATCGTAGCAGCTGCACCAATGGAATTAGACGTAGCGGCATGGTGTGAAACTGTAACTGTATCCACGCAGGTGAAGTCCTTATTCATGAATCTGGTGTTAGTATATTCTCTTTTTGTAACTGGAAAATGATTCATCAATGTGTTATATCCTAAAACATTGATTAATGTGCAGATTGTGTATACTGGTTTGTTTATAACCAGATTGGATTTCGATTTGGGAACTGTCAATTACAAAATATCTCTATTTTTAAAGTGGGAAGTCGATTTACTTATTTTTTGATTAATTGAAATTCTTTATGTCACATACGAATGATCAAGAAATGAACCTTTATTTATGAAATTATGAAACAACAATACAAATTAATTGGCGCTCCGGGGCGACTTCATTGATTCTAGTGTCGCATTTGCTTTATCAGCTGCAGGAAAACCCGGAAAAACCTGCAGCACCACATATTCTGAAGATCTTGATCTGCCAATGTCCTCTCTCTCATGAAACAAAATGTAGGGTGTCTCCAGAGGCTCCAATAAATTCAATACACCTCCAGAACTTAAACCAGTCCATTCCGTCTTTGACCAGGGCGTAATAATGACCAAATTCAACACCAGAACCAAAGTGAACAATGACTGCATAAATATTATAATAGTGGTCTGCTAGATTGAAGTTCTATGAACATCACATAATGCTGATGTCCATCGAGATATAATGCGTATAGTTTAATGTTTTTTCGAAATTCCGAAGATGAATAACTTTTCAATTAAGACGTCTTGGTTTACCTTATCGAAAGTTTTATTAAAATCTGTATATATTAGGTCTACTTTGCTACAGTTATCAAAATGTGTCCTATAATTTGCGTGAAACTTATTGAATTTGTAACGGTAGATCTTTTGTAATATATGATATATACATGTTTACCACGAATTTCTGATTGGTTCGGCCGTTACTTGATAAAGGTCCATAGTAATTTCATGAACTACAAATTACGATTTTATCGTCACAAACATCATTTTCAAAAATATATCATATGTTTCACTATCACAGTAGCTTGTTCGTATTGAATGACATACTAAAAGTTAGTTTATCATATAAGGTATTCAAAAAACACTTCATTGAAAGTTTTTGACTAAACAATTTTACAAAAACGTAACACGTGTTTCGCCATACAATGGCTTCTTCTGGTGTGTCTTCACTAACTACATATTCAATGCTTTTTTTGGCCCTTTGGAGCTATTCTTCTGGACGTAATTTTGTACGTCCATATATTGCCTGCCTCCTGTGATTCAGTGCCTCACATTCGCATAAGATGTGTTGAGCTGTTTCTATCCCTTCGTTGCATAATCTGCAGCTGAGGTCTCCAATGTACAGCCCCATTTTATTCAGGTGTCCTCTAAGCGGACAATGACCTGTTAGTAACCCTGTAATTATTCTGAGCCGATCCCAAAGTAGTTCTTCGGTTCTTTTCTCAGACGGTTCCCTAATGAAAGTTCTACTGTGTTTGTTGCCAGGTACTTTTGACCACTACTCTGTGTGCTTCTTATTGGTCCATGTCCTAATCTGGTTTCATACCAATGATTTTGGTACCGCCAGAGCTGGTTCAGGACCTACATATGAAGTTGATGATCCGCGTCTAGCGCATTCATCAGTTTTATTATTACCTGTTATTCCTGAATGCCCTGGCACCCAGTACAAAGTTAATTTGTTCCTGTTTGCAAGTTCATTCAGTTCTTCATTCGCTCCCGTTCCATGTTTGGTCTTCGATCCATCTGTATACCAGATGTTTTTTCCAAACATGTTTTCGGGATGATTAATGGTCTTCCACTCTTCACGGATGATGATTTTGGCCGTGAAGTTTATGATGAAGGTGTACTTCGGTATCATATGGTCCGTGCACGTATTCAATAGGTGCTTCTCCGCATGTTCCGAAATTTCTGTTCGGTCCGATCTTTTGTAGTTCGGTGAGTTTTCCAGTCTGAATTGGCCCATCCTGGCCTCCCCCATTATCACAAAGTGATAATGGGGGTAGTTCTCATTGCTCCCGTCATTCCCAAACGTGCAAATTTTTGCACCTTGCCTAGTTTGTTGATAGCGGTCGCCTGCTTCATCTTCGCCACCAGACCAGAGATGCGTATGTTATCATGGGTTTAACCACCATCATGAATAGCCAATATTCAATGCAGAATATACTATATTTTACAATTTGAAATACCTACATTTCAAGTAAGTGATT